GTGCCACTTTGAAAATAAATTCCATAATGGATAAAATACTAACTGCTAAACATAAATAAATAAATTTATCTGACAACGGCAACTTCGAATTAAGTTTAGAAAATCTTCGATAAAATTTTTATTATAAATTTGTCATAAATTTTTTGTGCCACTCTGAAAATAAATTCCATAATGGATAAAATACTAACTGCTAAACATAAATAAATAAATTTATCTGACAACGGCAACTTCGAATTAAGTTTAGAAAATCTTCGATAAAATTTTTATTATAATTTGTCATAAATTTTTTGTGCCACTCTGAAAATAAATTCCATATATAAAAATATAAATTTATCTGACAACGGCAACTTTGAATTAAGTTTAGAAAATCTTCGATAAAATTTTTATTATAAATTTGTCATAAATTTTTTGTGCCACTCTGAAAATAAATTCCATATATAAAAATATAAATTTATCTGACAACGGCAACTTCGAATTAAGTTTAGAAAATCTTCGATAAAATTTTTATTATAATTTGTCATAAATTTTTTGTGCCACTTTGAAAATAAATTCCATAATGGATAAAATACTAACTGCTAAACATAAATAAATAAATTTATCTGACAACGGCAACTTCGAATTAAGTTTAGAAAATCTTCGATAAAATTTTTATTATAATTTGTCATAAATTTTTTGTGCCACTTTGAAAATAAATTCCATAATGGATAAAATACTAACTGCTAAACATAAATAAATAAATTTATCTGACAACGGCAACTTCGAATTAAGTTTAGAAAATCTTCGATAAAATTTTTATTATAAATTTGTCATAAATTTTTTGTGCCACTCTGAAAATAAATTCCATAATGGATAAAATACTAACTGCTAAACATAAATAAATAAATTTATCTGACAACGGCAACTTTGAATTAAGTTTAGAAAATCTTCGATAAAATTTTTATTATAATTTGTCATAAATTTTTTGTGCCACTTTGAAAATAAATTCCATAATGGATAAAATACTAACTGCTAAACATAAATAAATAAATTTATCTGACAACGGCAACTTCGAATTAAGTTTAGAAAATCTTCGATAAAATTTTTATTATAAATTTGTCATAAATTTTTTGTGCCACTCTGAAAATAAATTCCATAATGGATAAAATACTAACTGCTAAACATAAATAAATAAATTTATCTGACAACGGCAACTTCGAATTAAGTTTAGAAAATCTTCGATAAAATTTTTATTATAAATTTGTCATAAATTTTTTGTGCCACTCTGAAAATAAATTCCATAATGGATAAAATACTAACTGCTAAACATAAATAAATAAATTTATCTGACAACGGCAACTTCGAATTAAGTTTAGAAAATCTTCGATAAAATTTTTATTATAAATTTGTCATAAATTTTTTGTGCCACTCTGAAAATAAATTCCATATATAAAAATATAAATTTATCTGACAACGGCAACTTCGAATTAAGTTTAGAAAATCTTCGATAAAATTTTTATTATAATTTGTCATAAATTTTTTGTGCCACTTTGAAAATAAATTCCATAATGGATAAAATACTAACTGCTAAACATAAATAAATAAATTTATCTGACAACGGCAACTTCGAATTAAGTTTAGAAAATCTTCGATAAAATTTTTATTATAATTTGTCATAAATTTTTTGTGCCACTTTGAAAATAAATTCCATAATGGATAAAATACTAACTGCTAAACATAAATAAATAAATTTATCTGACAACGGCAACTTCGAATTAAGTTTAGAAAATCTTCGATAAAATTTTTATTATAAATTTGTCATAAATTTTTTGTGCCACTCTGAAAATAAATTCCATAATGGATAAAATACTAACTGCTAAACATAAATAAATAAATTTATCTGACAACGGCAACTTTGAATTAAGTTTAGAAAATCTTCGATAAAATTTTTATTATAATTTGTCATAAATTTTTTGTGCCACTTTGAAAATAAATTCCATAATGGATAAAATACTAACTGCTAAACATAAATAAATAAATTTATCTGACAACGGCAACTTCGAATTAAGTTTAGAAAATCTTCGATAAAATTTTTATTATAAATTTGTCATAAATTTTTTGTGCCACTCTGAAAATAAATTCCATAATGGATAAAATACTAACTGCTAAACATAAATAAATAAATTTATCTGACAACGGCAACTTTGAATTAAGTTTAGAAAATCTTCGATAAAATTTTTATTATAATTTGTCATAAATTTTTTGTGCCACTTTGAAAATAAATTCCATAATGGATAAAATACTAACTGCTAAACATAAATAAATAAATTTATCTGACAACGGCAACTTCGAATTAAGTTTAGAAAATCTTCGATAAAATTTTTATTATAAATTTGTCATAAATTTTTTGTGCCACTCTGAAAATAAATTCCATATATAAAAATATAAATTTATCTGACAACGGCAACTTTGAATTAAGTTTAGAAAATCTTCGATAAAATTTTTATTATAATTTGTCATAAATTTTTTGTGCCACTTTGAAAATAAATTCCATAATTGATAAAATACTAACTGCTAAACATAAATAAATAAATTTATCTGACAACTGCAACTTTGAATTAAGTTTAGAAAATCTTCGATAAAATTTTTATTATAAATTTGCCATAAATTTTTTTGTTTTTAAAAAATTTTAAAAAATAGATCAAAGCCAATTATTATAGTTATCTATTAATGGCTTGGTCTGCATTTAAGCAAAATTTGTATTTTGTTAATAAATATTTAAATATGTAATTCACCAAAAATAAAGAAACAATTTTAAAAGTTTCACCTAAAACTAATTATGTCTATAATGTGGAAAAATTTTATCATGACAATTAAAGTAAAATTTTACATGGTAAAATATCAAATGAATTTTTTAAAAGATGGTTTGTCGTTAAACTAGCAATCTAACAAAATTATCATTCCTTTAAACAAGAGAAATCACAAATTAAATGGAATTTCAAACATAATAGAAAATGGTAATTAACGGTTATACGCCAACAAACTGACAAATGAGTGCCATCCGACATTAATTAGCTAATACTTTTTGAGCTTGTAGAATTCAAATAAATCTTATACGATAAGGGATACCTTGTTTCTATAAATAGGATAGATTAAGTCTGATCACTCGTTAAGAAGTTATAACACAATACGACAAGTTTTATGGTGTTTCTCACATTTATTCGGTTATAACTTTTTAACGAGTGAACAGAATTGATCCTTTATGTTGGAAAAAATTCCTCCTATTGAGGGCTTTCGAATGATATAAGATTTATTTGAATTGGATAAATCATCAAAAGGTTAAAGCCGAAAAAATCAGCATGCACTAAGTTTGTGTGCGTTTTCAAATCCTAAATCTCGAGGTCTTCAATCAAAATGAAATTTTATGTAATAAAAAAACGAATCTTTTGTTTAAATAAATGTTTAAATAATACCCAAAATCAAAAAAGACCCAAAAGGGCCAAAAACCCCCATTCCAAAATAAAAAAAAATGAATTAAAAACTTTCAAGAAACACATCCTTTCCTCAAACCTCAACAATTTTCAATATGCTCAACATTTAATAGTTTTGATCACCATATATGCCAGGATGGATATTCAAAAACACTTTAGTTTTATCGAGCACACGATTTCGCACTTCTTTCAATACCTTTTCTATCATATCCTTTAAATTCAGCTGTTCGTCAGAGGACCTATTAAACTCTTTAATTTTCAAAATTGCTTTTTCAACACCGAATCGACCTAAAAATTATTCAAAATATAAATGGTTGCAGCAAATATCTGTGAAAGAAGTTATAGTAGAATTCGTGTCTAGAGCTTATCGTACCAGAAATATTTAAAATTTGCAGACTTTTCACATATTTTGTCCTTAATAAAGTAGGACATATTTATTTATAATTTAAATTGAAAAAAACTGATTTCAATCTTTCGTTGAAATAAAAGTAATTTTCTAGTTTATTATAAGCTTGCCTGTGCTTAATCCGCTTCCAGTGAAAAAATGAGCACTCGTATTTGCATCACCCACAGCTGCAACAATTGCTGAATCGTTTTCTGTACGATATCTTTTTGCTGGATTTTCTACTCCTTTAATTTTTATCCAAAAAGTATTTGAACTCAAAATTTTAAAATAATGGTAATCATCGTCTTCTTCATCACAATCCTCATTTTCTTCTGTTTTAACTATTAATTTATCAGCATCATGATCATATAAAGATGCTAAATATTTAAAAAGTGAAATAGCCCATTTGTTCTCTAATTCTTTAATAAAATTCACATAATATTTCTCCCAATGTGGATTTGCATTCATTTCAGCTTTAATCTCTTCAATAAAATTAACAAGAGCAGTGGGTGTATTTGTTGCAATAGATATTCTTTGTTTTAACTCAAAAACATGTAAACTGAGCGTTTCATAAGTATAATTATTATACGGGGTAATTAAATATCCGTGACCGTCTTCCATCACTCCATAAATAATAAAGTTGATTATATTGCCATAACGACTTTTCAGACGATGAGAAATATTAGAGTTAACGATAAATTCATAAAACCCTTGTTTTTGAAGATGAATTCCCATCTCAATCATTGATTTACTCAAATATGTATAATCTCCTTCTGTAATTTTTATTTCAGGGTCTGCTTTGTCGATGTAAATTGAACTGTAATTCTTAGATTCAGTTAGCACCTGTGGTTCTTCTTAAAATTTAAATATTTTTATTTTTTTATTTATTAATTTAGCAGCATAAAAAAAGTCATCAAAAGGTATTCGACAACAATTACGTACTTAATTCGACAACAATGTCGTAGTGTGGCACAATAAAAATAAAATAACAGCATAAAACAATAAAAGTCGTAATAATTTAAAAAAACATAATTTATTATTAACGATTTATTTTTTAAATAAATATACTCCATACCGAAAATTTTAATTAAATATTTTTTTAAATTTTTTTAAATAATTTCTGATAACTCTAATGGGGATTCTAGAAATTATTTACCTATAAAGTCATCTCTTATTCGGTCATTTGCTCCACCAGCACAAAAAAGCAAATCAAAAGGAATCCCTAAAAAATTACTTCCAAAATACGTATTCAATGGCAGTCCATTGATAGTATTCTGTATGTCAAAGGCTTTTCCGTTAATCTGAAGTTTAGCTAGCTTTTTAGCATTAATATAATCTATATTGCCTTCATTACTAATATATGGAATTGTATTTTCACCAAATATATTTTCTAAATATTGTTGTTTGCTTTTAATAATTGTTCTACGTGCTCCGTCAGGATCTGTGCCGTATTCATTCATAATGTTATTTACAAGTTTTTTGTAATATTTTTTTCCAAATGGTTTGTCTTGCCTGATAGGCGTTCCAAAAATTGCTAAGGGTTTTTCGTAATGCAAATTTATGTCAAAAACTTCTGTTTCATATAATAATTTTACGAAAGACTTTTCTCCTTCTTCATTTTCCTCTCTTTCATCAACATATAAAGCTAGGCACTTCAAACGGTTCATTAAAGCAGTTTCAAAATTTTTCATAATAACTATCCCGACATGGTTAGGAAGCAATTTTGCCATAGAATTTTCATCGTTAAAGAGTTGGTCAAATTGTGTACCCAAAATTAAATTTAATTGATATATCCATTTGCGGTCAAGAAGGATAAATTGTTCACGTGTATACTCTTCAGAACGATCATTTACAAGTGTAACATTAATTCCTTCTAAAAGTTTTATTTATTTTTTTTAATTTTTAATTACTGTATTCTGTTAAAATCTTAAGTGAATCTAATGGAGGTTTCTAAGGCAGAAGTATATTCCAAAAAATAGGTATTATGTAAAAAACTTTATTTTAATAAAATTACTTGCTGGCTAATTTGGCTGATTTCGCTAATACTATTCAGTTAGAAGTGTATTACTATAGAAAAAGTGAATTAAAAATATTTATCTTACCAATAAAAAGTTTAAAAGCAGTGTATAATCCAATTGGACCAGCACCCTCTACAACGGCATACTTGTATCCTCTCACCTTTTCTTTATTATCCGAATGTTCTTCATAAAATTTCTCAATAATCGCTTTATCTAGTTCAACGCTGTGAATTAATGACAAATCAAAAATTAATTTCAAATCCTTTAATTTCGAATGTTTTTCCATAAATGAGAATATATCAATAAATGAGCCTTCTGACCCCTCAGAGTTTAAATCACTGATGAATACTTTACATTGGATAACTAAATTTATTTTAGCCTTGTAATAGTCCTTGCTATAAGTATTCTTCATTGAACTAGTCGAACTAGTCGTTTTTCGAAAAAATTTGAAAGCTTTAGCTTTTGGTTTTATGCCTAGAAATTATTTAATAAATGAGTATGCTGAATTCGTAACAATAAATAATGTGTTATTTAAATCTCAAATAGTATATATCTAAAAGTCCAAAATGGATGAAGGACGAAACTGAAACAAATTTGATACAAAATTCGCTAATTATGATTAGAGTTTCAACCAAGGATTACCATAATTAAGAGATGCAATTCTTGTCTTGAGGTTTTTAGAAAAATTACACCTAGGATGTTTTCCTCAAACTAATAATTAATACCAACAATTATCACCTGTTTCGCCATTAGCAATTAACTGGTCGTATCTTTTAATATCTTCTTTAAAATTATCAACATCCACATCCGAGTAATGATCATTTATTTCTTCTTCAACAAACTTTTCAACTCTTTCTGTTAATTTATCAATGGCATTTTTGTATATTTTTTTCATAATTTTGTATTCTTCTATGGCTCTCCCTCCTAATGAATGCCAAGATAAATTGTTATTTGTTTCGTCAAAATTCTCCATAAATACAAATTCCTCGTAGATTAGAACATCGTTAGATTGTGTGCTGCCCCCAGAAATAGCAATTTTCTTCAATTCATTAAAACGGGCTTTAAGTGTAAAAATTAAAAAAATGTAAAAATTAATTAAAAAATATGAGGTCAGATGGTCCACTTTAAGTTACTCCTAATTAAAAATCCTAACTTAGGATATCCATTAAATAATTATCAGTGGGATAGTTATTTAATGGGCGAGGACCGAAACTCATAAGTTAGGACCGACAGTAAAATTAATAAATTTAAATAAATACTTATGATTCCAGGATTAATCAAAGGTTGATGTGGAACAACTATAATGTAATTTTGATATGGTTGAAAAATGTTGAAATCAAAAACATCAATTTTTTCAAAAACAGAAAAAAGAATAATAATAATAAAAAGTAGACGATTAGTTTGTTTGAAATAATTTTTTCCCCTGTCGATCATTGTCTAATTTATGGAAAACAAAAATGAAAATCTGATTAAAATGAATCTAAAAAATAAATATTAAAAAATACACACTCAAAGTAGACTCTGTTTCAAAAGTATAACCAAATTTAATTTTAATACTTTTTCTAATTACTTGTAATTAATGCTCCGGGAGCTAGCTCCGGAGCCAAAGCTGGAGCCTGAGCCAAAAATTTGAAATGCCTGAGCAGGAGCCAAGGTTTTTCATTTACACACCCTAAAGATGCGTCAAAGATAAAGAAGTGAGTAAAAGATTGCGTGAGAAGAAAAGGAAGAGAAAATTGAGACAGGTAAAATAAGTTTTTTCGTTTACTTTCAACAGGATGAAAACGAAATTCAAAAGGATTAAACCGGATTTTGTGTTGGGTTCGTAGTTTTGATGATGACTAAATAATGGTTTACTTTGTGATGATTTCTGGGATAATTTCTGGGATGAAATAAGGATGATTTCTTGCCTAAGGATCTTCTAAATTTTCAAAATTTTTGCCTGCGGTGCGAAAGAAGAGAAATTCCCGATATCCCTCTTAATCCTTAACAACCCAAATCTCACTTATTTCATTAGTATCCATTTTATTCCGTTGATAACACTCGATATCCCCCATAATCTACCCAAATCTCCCAATGAAAAATAATTTATAGATTTTCCAACGGAGGCCTGAGCCAACATGGACCGCTCTGAAAATCGCCGGCACTTGAGCCGGAGCCAAGATGTTAAAAGCCCTGAGTCGGAGCCAAGAATTTTTTTCTAAGTTTTATTTTTCTAAACAAGGCGCAAAATCAGGACTAGTGTATAGGATAGACTATAGCTTGACTATCGCTTGACAATTCTTGGCTATATAGTAAAGAGACTTGACTATTCTTGGCTATAAGTAAAGAGACTATCACTTGACAATTCTTGGCTATATAGTAAAGAGACTTGACTATTCTTGGCTATAAGTAAAGAGACTATCACTTGACAATTCTTGGCTATATAGGCAACGTGACTATCACTTGACTATTCTTGGCTATATAGTAAAGAGACAATCACTTGACTATATTATATGTTGAATCGAATATTCGCTTTAATGAATCGAAACTTCGATCTTGAAATTCGATATTTTCTAGTAAAGTTATTTTTTATAACCAATTCCCTTTTTGCATTACCACAAAACTTAAAAATATTTTTTGATTGACATCACTAAAGTGATAAAGTGATTGACAGCACTAAAGTAATTGACTTTAGTGCTGCAAAATTTTGTTAGTTTAGTGAGAAAAATCCTCCCAAATCCTTTGATATCTCCAATAAATCCACTTAATCCAAAAATATCTTCATTAATCCTCGTATCTAACAAAATCCCTTCTATTCTTCAATTATTAATATTCCTGTTAATTACTCAGATTTTTTAATACCTCAAAATCAAAGATAATCCCAATGAATCCCTTCATATATGTACATAATTATTCGAAATTACTATTACAGACATTGTCTTGAGAATTATTTGAATTTAATCATTTTATTTTATTCAAATGCAAAGAATTCGCTTCTGAATAAACATACCTTAATTTTTCACTCTATAATTATTACACATACCGTAAATGCTCTAATATAAGTAGAAGCACGGTATCTAATTGAAGCAGTCTCTAATATAAGCGCACCCTACGAAAGATGTGATTGAAGGTGAATTGTTAGTGCGCAGTGTAAGTAACAAAATAAAGACTCGATGTGAATGGCAGTGGACATTATTTTAAGGCTGAAATTATCGCAAGGGATATGATTGAATTTGTTGTATATAAGGAGACATATCCATGATATGCTCCGATAAAGGAGTTCTGAATTGATCAAGTGTGATTTGATATAAGTAACTAATGAGGGATAAAGAGATTCTCGGGTATAAGTAGGATTGAGCGATATGGACAGTTTAGAGAGATAAGGAGATAATATCTTGAATTGATATTCCAAATTAATATAAATTTAATAAAACACTCGGGCGAGAGTTAAACGATTTATACTTCTAAAATAAGATAAATTTTCACTCCGTTAGAACAGTTGGTTGAGCAACTGCAAATCTATATCTAAGGGTGGACTGTTTATATTAGTGTAAATTTTTAAAAATTTTTAAAGCTTTGCAAGTTAATAATTTAATGAATTACAAAAGTTTTTATATTTGAATTAAAATTTTTAATAAATAATTAAAATTATAGCTAGCTATTTATTAAATAATTCGCTAGCCATTATATTGAATGTCGTTAAATGCCAGGATTTTCTCCTCATCTCTGCTTATTTCTATTTCTCTAACTGTGTAAAGGAATTTTCAAAACGTGGCGAAGTTATATGTGAATTGAAAATTGATTATTGAATTTTCAAATTTTTAAAAAGGGTTAGAGAATATAAAGTTTTAATTAAAATATTAAAAAGTATTGTTAATATGTATTTTACAATATTTTGGGCCTATCGTATCATTTTTTCTTCAGTATTAATCCGCTCAGCACAAACATCTATGATTACATTACAATTGTTACCATTTATCGCTATAAAGAAAGTCAAAAATGCCAGATATGATCAGATTAACTTAATGAGATATGATCAGATATTTGAGGATTTTGGACAGACATTTGAGGCTCGATGTTTAATAATATTAATATTATTAAACGAATGGCAATCCTAACATGTGCTAAAGATCTCAATAAACATGGAATTCGAAACATGATAAATTATCAAAATAGGTAACGCTTCTCGTAATTACAATAGAAGGAAATTCCGACTTAGAAATTTGAATTTTCTAAATTTTGGCGCACAATCTTGACTAGTTGTTTATATTTTTCCCTCCTTGATCAATCACAACCCAGCAACTAGCCTTCTTAGTAACATATATTTAAAACTGATTGCTTTAAAAACTTAAATAGCTTAAAATCAAACTTAAAACTTAACTTAAAAAAACTTAAAATTTAAAAAACTTAATAGAATAATTTTATTTAAATTCAAAATGGATAAAATTGAGAAAATTATCGGCTATAAATTAACACAAAAATATTAAAAAAAGGTTTTTTTTATCATGTAAGGGATATCATTTCAATTGATAGCTTTTTGAATTTTTTTGAAAAAATGCACTATCGATAAGATTAGTTCAGTTCAAAATTAAAAAAAATATTTTTTTATCATTGGCTCTACAATAAACAAAACCGTGTCTTTGTGTTAAAAAACACACTATTTATTTTAATAATTGGGATATGTTTTTTAAAAAAAATTTATATTTTTCAAAATATTAAAAAATTATTTGAGTAAAATGAAGACTATTAAAGTTGGGCAGTTGGGCAAATTAATATTGGGCAAATTAATATAAATTTATTTGCCCCTTAAATTTTTATACTGAGGAGAATAAATTAAAAAATATCAAATTTATGAAAATTCTCAAAATTCTGCTTTATTACATATTTATATACATATGTTCTATTGTAATAATTATTTAATAACAATTATACGAATTTTTGTGAATTTAAACAAAAATTAATATTGTTATCAATCTTACAGATAACTTTCTGATAATTTTGTTTTGTCATGGTCTTCCACTTTTGATAAAAAATTTTGTTGCTTTTCAACATTACCCATATTCCTTACTAAGTATGAATGCAATAAATAATGGTTTTTAATTTCTCTAAATTATTTTCACAAAACTTGCCTATTAAGGTAACGAGCCAAAATAATTTAAGCAACTCTCTAATGTGACAGAAAAAACAATAGAAATTTACACTTACATATCTAAATGTTCATCCATATTTTTGAAGTCCTAAATATCATAATGAATCCTAAAAATCTTATATTTGGTTTCCGATTTGATGTAGCTGTCAGGCTTTCTTGGTCATTCACACAGTCCTGATTCAGTCTGAAATTTTTTTAAATTGTTTGAAAGGATTTTTTAAAAGATGGATACATAAGATATATAAAATATTAAATATCTTATGTATGAAAGAGCTTGGCGATCTGAATGAAGTGTCTTCTGACCAAATAAGGGCCGAATGAGTTTTCATTGGCAATTTGTCCAATACTATTTTTCAATAAATTTTTTACAGTGAAAAAAATTTTTCTTGTATTGATTTTCAATGCCGTGTCGATTTTTATATGGCTATATGAAGGGTAGAAAGGATAATGAGTGTAGATGATAGAGAAAAATAATTTTATAAAGTGTATAGAGGGAAAGTTGCAGACAAAATTTATAAAAAAAAATATAGAAGGGAAGGGCTTTTAATTTTTATTTTTGAAAATCCCCAATAGACTCCTTTCAATTTTATTCAATTTTAATTTATAAACATTTAATTTAATTTATATATTTAATTTAATTATTTAACGTCGTCAATATCGAGGTTAGAATAATGTTTCAATATTTTGAATTATAAATCCATCTATAAACAGTTGAATCTCTGAAAAAGATTCTGACTTTCCAGGCCAAACTGAATATAATATACGTTTTTCTAAATGTTGTTAGCCAGTGAAATAGGGGGTATGGTTAGCAATAACATAGATTTATATGCAATATTTAATTTTCGAATAGTTTATCATAAGACGAGAGATAATTAAAGATATTGAAAAAAACATTTCAAAATTTTTGTTTCAGAAGGAAAATGCTTCTTCGCTCAATTACATTCCTTCTGGGAATTGTATCATTAGCATCTTCTATGATGCCT